TCTGTCTTCACTGAAGCAGCCAGGTCTCAGATATTATAGAAATGCAGGTGTACTGGCCCCACCATCTGGGTACCAAAGATAGAGAATATTACTCCTTCCAGAGAGGAGCTTTGTCCTACAGCTCCAGGAGTGGGACAGCCTGGCTCTTCAGAGCAACAAGACAAGACCCTGGTTTGCACGAGTGCAAAGAAAAGCTTTATTTGATTTCTGAGCGCGGCACAGCACTTGGAAAAAGGGTGAGGGAAGCAGGGGTATGATACAAAGAGAAGATGCGTTTCGTGGTCTGCATAGCCACAGCACATAAGCTGGAATCTTCTTTTGCTTTGCTATGCGAGGTTTGCAGCAAACCAGGCAGCCGTTTGGTGATCTGCTCAGCGGGCAGCCTGGGTGATCTGCTCACGGGAGGAAATCACCTTCCCATCCTGGACCTCCTCAAAGATTGTGCGGATTTGACGGGTAGTTACAGGTCCTACAATGGAGAAAGAAGGAACCGTTATTTACAGGGAAGCAAGGAGAAAGTGTCTTAAAGATTTTCACGAGTAGATTTGTTATTACGAACAACTGCCTCAGAAACCCAATATAAGGACCACATTCCTACCTCTAGATACTTTATTATATAGTTTCAGTCTGCACAGATAATCTTCTGAAACATGTTTTGGTATAATATAAGAGTGGTTTATGTCAATTCACATTTTGAAAATATAATAAAATAGTAATTTTAGTAAATTAGTAAAAAGAGTCTGTGCTAAGAAGGTGGCAAAAGATATGACAGAGCTATGTGTGATCAGTGCTTCAGCCAAGACATGTTCTTACCTTCTTTCACAGACTGTGAGACGTAGTGGGAAGACATGCTACAGGAGGAGAAAAGAGAAAGAATGGTCAGAAACAGAAAAAAGTGAGTAGTCTCTAAGACAAAATCATTATTTAAAACCCCGCCTTTTCTTCTTGCACCAGTATGTGATTAAAATGTCTTCTGGAAACTGCCTAGGGTCAAAATAGAAAGGAAGAAAATGCTAAGGATGTATGTGTGCTACGGGGATTCAGACATAAAGGCAGCACGCACCCCAGCTGCAACGAGCAGCAGTGGTACCTGCTCCTTCCCCAGGATCTCACAGACACTGGAGGGATGGGAAGTGGATCTCAGGGATGCTGCAGTGCTGTGATAACCACTGGGCTGTCCTAGGCTAGTAGGACCAAAAAGGGAGACCCTGCTGCATGCCATGGGTCAGGAAACGGGCTCACAGGATCCTCCAGGGAATGCAGGTTGTTCATTTTTTATTTACTTCGCTATTACCCGTCTCTTCCCGATGTGCCCTCCCAAGCGAAGCCCCTCTACCTACTGGGCGTCCTCGCCCTCCAGGAGCCGGCGGTACGTGGCGATCTCCTGCTCCAGGCGGCATTTGACGTCCAGGAGGACCCTGTACTCGTGGTTCTGGCGCTCCATGTCGCACCGCAGCTCGGCCAGCTGCTCCTCCACGCTGGTGATCAGCCCCTGGAGCTGGGCCAGCTGGGTGCCGTAACGGGCTTCTGTGTCGGCCAAGGTGCCCTCCAACGCCGCTTTCTGCATGCAGAGGAGAGGCATGGGCTCAGGGCAGGGACGGAGGGCGGAAGGGATGGGAGCACCCATGCGTCCCCTGGCCCACGCTCCTGCGTGCCCCCTCCCCACAGGCAGCCGGCCCCTCATACCGTGCTGAGCTGGGACTGCAGGTCAATCTCCAGGCTCTGGATGGTGCGTCGTAGCTCTGTGATCTCCGTCTTGCCGCTCTGAAGCTGCTCCGTGTTGATGGCCACCTCCCGGTTCAGCTCTTCCGTCTGCAACAAGGCAAAACCGTGCCGTTACAGCACCATCGAGCGGGCACAGCCTCGGGTCCCACGTGCCCCGCTGCGCTGCCGGCGAGCCAGCTCACCTTGCTGAAGAACCACTGCTCGGCATCCCTGCGGTTCTTGTCTGCCAGGCTCTCGTACTGCTCCCTCATGTCAGCCAGGATCTTGGTGAGGTCAATTCCAGGAGCAGCATCCATCTCCACGCTGATCTCTCCACCCACCTGCCCGCGCAGGGCATTCATTTCCTGGCAGAAAAGAGACACATACCTGTCATAGTAAAATCGGTGTATTCTCATCATGACAAATTTCTTATTTGCACCCAGCACACCAACCCCACAGACCTTCTCCTGGAGTTTCTGTCTGAAGGGATTGTTTCCCTCCCCCTTACCCACTCGAGTGTCTCCTGACAGCCCTAATTGCAGAGACACTCCTGCACATTTGACCTGACCACTTTCCATTGTGCACAAGGTACATTTTGTAGGTCCCAGTTTGAGCCTGCCTCTGTGCTCACCTCCTCGTGGTTCTTCTTGAGGTAGGCCAGCTCCTCCTTCAGGTTCTCAATCTGCATCTCCAGGTCAGCTCTGGCCAGGGTGAGCTCATCCAGGACTCTGCGCAGGCCATTGATGTCGGCCTCCACGCTCAGGCGCAGAGCCTGCTCCGTCTCAAACCTGGGAACACACACACACAGTCGCACCGTGGAGCCCAGCTGATACAGGTTTTTTCTTGTTGTTTCTTTCCCCACCTTGGCGTATTTCTGCCAAGCATCTTTTAGTAAATGTGCATGCACGGCTCTCCACAGTGCAGGAATGTCCAGACAATGCTGTGTCCAGGAAGAGATGTACACTTCCCAAATGTCACACTTTTAGTGAGCAGTGACCTGGTGGAGCAACTTCAGTTGCAGAAAGCAATGAAAAGCTTTAAACAGACTGGCTTTTCCCTCCCTTCTCATAAGAACTTTTGAAGGCGTTGGACTTACTTGGTTCTGAAGTCATCAGCTGCCAGCCTGGCATTGTCAATCTGTAAGACGATGTTGGCATTTTCAACAGTTGCAGCAAGAATCTGGGGGGGGGATAAAAGAAAGCAAAAGAGTGAAAAAGTAGTTCCAAAAAATGGCATTCTGCTGCCTGATTTCCCATTCAGAAGGAGGACTGGAGCAGCACTAAACCTCCTGCCTCTTAGGCTGGACTTCCGTGTGGACTCTGCAAACGGGATACTCATGCTCAATCTTTCATTGGCACTGGCTCGATCTTGTGAAGACACTGGCATGTGCACATGCCACAGCCTGTTGCCCCTGCCAGAGTGGCACCTCCAGGTGCTCACACCACGCTCAGAGTCCTGGCAGCACTCTGGGCTTTGCCTGGCAATGCTGAACAGCCCGGCTGAGAAAGAAAAAAGGGTTGAGGAAGGAGTGCCTTGTGCCTGAATCGTTTTGCTTTCGTAATTACACCTGAGGTGCAAATATCTGTTTTGGGATTTTGAAAATTATTGGCCATTTAATGAGCAGTAATTTCTGTAGCTACAAGCTAATGAAAAGCTTTCACTGAGTTCTGATGCTTCAGGGGATATCCAAGCAATAATCCAGGAATATTGATGTGGTAATTTCCCAGCTGCGGTGTGGGAGGGGAGGGGAGGGTCTGCCTCCCTCTGGATCATGAGCAGAGGGTTTCTGTGAGACCCAGCACTTCATTGCTCAAATCTGGAGACAGCTTCTGCCTCCACATGTTTCTGTGCTCCAGATCAGAACACACCTGACAAGCTGGAATGTGAAGAGAAGCTTTGTGTGTCAAGGCAAGAGCCCTCCACCCCAAGGTGAAGCCCAAGAGAAGGGTTAAAGAACTGAAAAATTCTAGGTATGTGATTTCCCCCAAGGGCTGACCCCTGAGCCTGTCAGCAGCTGCCCCATTTCCCTGGTATTTACTCTCACAGACCAGGTATTGTCATTACGAAACCGCCCACACCTCCATCCCCTCCAGTGGAGCCTGAGCTGACTAAGGTTGCTGTCACCTCGAGTAGGCAGTGGTGAAGGACCAGGGAATCAGCTCATGATGAGTAATGTGGGCAGAGGGAGGACAGCGATGGCAGGGTAGAAGAGGAAGGACAGATTCTGGTGCTTTTGTTCAAGGACCTTTGCCTGGAATCAGCCAGGGAGCTGCTAAGAATAAAGAAACGAGCTTGGCCATGATTTCATCTACTGCATTTCAGAGCAGGGCACACACCTAACTTCAGCACCTCTGAAGCCACCTGCCACAACCAGTACGTTCTGACTCCTGGATTTTCATTTGTGTCTGTGTTTGCACCTCCCAAAGAACAAGCATCCCATAGGGCAGTTTCTTTCTTTTTTAACCGCTACCTTGAGCCTCCTATCAGGCTAGAAAAGATCTGATTTGTAGGATATTTATGAAAACGACTTAGCATCTTCGTCTGCGTATCATTCAGTAGTGAACAGTGCCAAAGAGATAACGTGTCCCTGCCTGCAGAGTGCTTAATCAGGAGCCTGGCAGAGGGAGCACATACTTGGGGCATAAGTAGCATCGAGGAAAGGCAGGAAATGACTGGCGTGGCAGCACGCACCCTGTAGCATCAGGTAACCTGAAGCAATGGCTGACAGCCTCTGACTCCTGCTTTCCTGCCCCGTCTTTCTCTCTACACTGAAACAGTCAATAGAAAACCCATCTTTGTGCCTTGTGGAGGACATGATCAAGAAAATGCTGTTCATAAATTATGACTATTATTTCCAAGTATGCTCTTTCTGTTTTCCCATCTCAGACCAATCACCTGTCATTTGTTAATACTCTTCCCTTCAGCTTTTAGGAACAGGGTCATCTTTTTAAAAGTGACTTTAATCAAGATGTCTTGGTAATCACAGCATCCTACCTTGTTCCTGAGCTCCTCAATAGTCCTGTAGTAGGGGCTGTAGTCACGGTCTGGACCAGGTCCCTGCTTCTTGTACCATTCCCTGATCTTGACCTCCAGGTCAGTGTTGGCCTCCTCCAGGGCACGCACTTTGTCCAGGTAGACAGCCAGGCGGTCGTTGAGGTTCTGCATCGTCTCCTTTTCGCCGGCCGGGAGGATGCCATCGCCACCTCCAAAGCCACCTCCAAAGCCACCTCCAAAGCCAGCCCCAAAGCCAGCCCCAAGGCCAGCCCCATAGCTACCCCCAAAGCCGCCACCGAGGCCCCCTCCTACGCTGCTGCAGTAGCTGCCCCCATAGCCACTTCCGAGCCCCGAGACAATGCGGGAAGAGACAGAGTAGCTGCCAGAGCCTCCGTGGACGCTGGGGGCTCTGTACCCTCCTCCCCCAACACGCACAGAGGAAAGCCTGCTGGAGCCTCCACCCAGGCCACCGAATCCCTTGAGGGAGGTGGAGGAGGAGTATTGCCTGACAGTGGTGCTCATGGCGAAGGCTGGCGGAGGCTGGAGGGCTGGAGGGAGACACCCGGCTCAGCAGCGCAGACAGCGAGTGCTCGCTTCCCCCTGGCCTGGAGCCCTTTATAGCCCGGGCAGGAGGCGTTGCCGGTGCTTTTTTTTCTGTTGCATTCCCAGTCAAAATTCCAGAATCATAAATCTGAGCCAACTTTCAGAATCGTCATTTTTGCCTTTGTTCTATTCATGCTTTTTGTCATCTTCCACTAGAAACTTTTTATCTCACAAAGGGCGTCTTTATGCTTCTTCCGTTTCCAAGTAAATAGGCAGGTGTGATTCAAAGTAGGAGGCTCCTTGCTCAGGGCTACATTTTAATACTGCTTTGTACTGTTAGCTCTGAAACGGAGCTATTCAGACAGCGTTTTGATCGAGTACTTCAGCAGCTCTTTTGCTGGGTGGAGGAGGAGTATTGCCTGACAGTGGTGCTCATGGCGAAGGCTGGCGGAGGCTGGAGGGCTGGAGGGAGACACCCGGCTCAGCAGCGCAGACAGCGAGTGCTCGCTTCCCCCTGGCCTGGAGCCCTTTATAGCCCGGGCAGGAGGCGTTGCCGGTGCTTTTCGTCACCCCGACAGCCAGAGCCAAATTCCAGAATCATCATTTTTCTCTCCCCGGTTTCACATCTTTTGTCACATCCCACTAGAAGCACTACGGCACACACAGGATCTTCTCCTTCCGCTTTAGTTCCCAGCACCCAGCTTGACTCAGACTGAAGGCTCCTTGCTCATGGCTATGTTTTAGCATTTCACTGTTGCACCTGAGACGCAGAGGTGCTCGCTCCAGCTCCACCCCGCTGCTCCTTCATGAAGTAACACAAGTGAATCCTCTGTGATATGCCAAGTAGCCCGCAAGTGTCTTATAACATTAAAAATCTACAAATCTATTTATTTGCTATTTTAAAGAGTCTAAAGCCAGTGAAAGCTGCTGACTTAAGAGCTCTGCACATCCATAATCTTTATATGGGCCAACCCAAAGCAAGACGGAAATTTTCCCGTCAGGACCTCTATCCCAGGGCAAGCACAGACCTGGCGGTATTTGTGTACTGATACTGTATTTGGCAGAAATCTTGTAGCTCAAAAGAGAAGAAAGTCCAGTAATTTCTTCTTACATACTGGTCTACAGAGCCTGGAAAGTCCCTACAGCAGTGGTTTTTCAGTCAGTTTAAAAGGCAGATGCCTGATGTTTCCCAGTGGCACCTGCTTTGCTGCATCACCTTTCACAAACTCCACAGAAGCAGTCTGTGACTTCTAAAAGATTTGTAGAAGCTGAAAACTTCTGTGCCACAATTTCTTCTATCTCATTGCTGAGGCAGGTTTTAATGCTTAAATAGTCTAAATCAGAGAAAAAGAATTTGAAGCTACACTAGACACCCACTGCCAGACACATTACGTGCAATCCTGATGGGAAGAGTATGATCAACTCTTATCAGTGCTTATGCCTGCATGCAGATATGCTTTTTCCTGCACATTTGCAGCTGCAAGACACAATGCTAATATAACTCAGCAGGACCAGCAGCACCTGTATCAAAAGCACTGATGGGCAAAGTGCAACACACACAGCAGTGAGGAGCAAGAACACCGTGACCACCTGTGAAGCTGAGGGCTTAAACAGGACAATGCAGAAGAGGTGTACAGAGATGAGGCAATGCAGCCACCCCAATAGCCATGCCTGCATCGTGCTATTAAGGGATTGAGCACAGTGATTACAGTACTGCAGCTGGACAGGTATTAGCGTGAAAAAAAGCAGCAGAGAACCAGGAACTGAGACACTGCACTGTTTTATTCTTTGTTGGGAAAAAAAAATCCCTTTACTGATGTGGCGCCAGCTCTTGCAGTATACAGTGGAAAATCTCACACCCAACCTGCTGGCCTGCCTGGCTCTACCGATGACATTCTCAGATAACTTATTTTTCCTTATAGCAGAAGTGCCTGTGAGGTAGTGGAAGAGAGTTATAGGGATTAGGAACCCTTTTGTGCTTTCTCTCCTGTGGTGATCTCCTTCCTTCCTGGGGCCCCTCTGGCTGTTTTCACATTCTAATGCACTTAACTGATTTTGCAGTTGCTAAGATGTTCCCAGAGCCTCACCCTCGGTAATTCATAGTGCCTCCTTTCTTTCATCTGTTCCCTGAAGGACACAATAACAACAACGCTTCATCTGCATCGCTGTTAGATCTCACGGACTTAATAGGGAATCACGTTCTCTTTCTTTAGCAGCTCCAGGAGAGGTGGTGTGATTTTTCTGGGCGGCCACCAAGAAAGCAGCTTAACCAGAAACAGACTCCAGATCTTCTTATTTAAGGGGTCTAGTCTCTGGGCAGCATTATCTCAGAACTGATTGGCTTCAGATTTGGATTTTTGACTCCCCAAGCTGCAAAATCTGGGGATTTGGGATTCACATGTGCCCCGTCCCTCAGAGAGCTGGGAGAAAGGAGTTGCTCCCCAGGACCTGGGAGCAACCCACCGCTGGCAAATGGCAGAGTGTGCAGATGATTGTGTTCAGCTTGCAGCAGAATCCTGGGGCAGCCTGGCAGGGTGAAGATCAGTGTTCCTGCTGGCCTGCTTCCCTCCGTAGTGGGGGGTACGGGATTACCCAACAGCCGTCGTGTGGGAGCTGTGCTCAAGTGCCATTCCTTGGCCACCCTTGCTCGGAGTTCTTCCAGATGTGTTCGCTTTGCTCATGTTTGCTCTAGCAAACACCCTCCTGCTCCAGGCAATTCCCATGTTGGCCATGAGCCCCTCACATGGGCCAAAAACCATGCTGTGAGTTCTATCCCCCTGCTCAGGTCACCCCCACAATTTTAGGCCAAGTTATGAGTCAGCCTGAAGGTGATGACTGCCCTAAAACGAGGCAAAGCCCTGCCACAGCCCCATAGGTAGGAAATACCTGGATTTAGGGCTTTTCTTTCTGTATTATCACGACCTCAGCCTATGTTTAAGCTCTTTTATTACAGCTAGCACAGGAGCCTAAGATGAGATCTGGAGATTGTCCTGTAATATCAGCTTTTTCTGGTCTTTTCTGATCAACGTCCTTGCCAGTCAGCTGCTGCCCTGACCTCTGGCTGAGCTCCTAAATAGTAATCCCCAAACTGGCCCCACTCTTGCAAGAGAAAACCTTAGCACAAAGTTCCCCTTGCGCAGGCTCTGTCGAAAGGGCATGATTATACAGAGGAGCATGCACCACTTCAGCTGTTTTATGTTAGCAGAATTCAATCTCCCAGGCTCTCCTGAAACACTCACCCACAATAAATTCCCTTGAGATAAAAAAACCCACATCGTAATGTTCAGGAGATGGTATCACAGTCTGTTCCAGCGAGAAGTATGCCGTAGATGCTATCTCTCCCTCAGGGGTGCTGCAGGGGAAAATAAAGAACTGAACTCCTCTGGTTCACATAGGAAGGGAGGTGAAATTATACAAGAGGAGTGGACAAGCAGTGCACATAGTAACCCAATGCGGTGAGGGCTGGTGTGAAAAGGCCAGGGTCAGTGCGTTGCATTTGCCTCAAACAATAGCACTTAATTGTGCTTTTAATGCAATAAATAAGAGCTAATTAGCAGTCATTGGGTTTCCCCTGTGGGCCAGCTTCTCCTGAGTGCCTTTCACAGCAATTCACAGCTCAGTAGAAACTAGCTGAAGGATGCAACCCTGGAAAAGATGTCTCCTGCATGTAAGGAATGGCAGGCACAGGCTTTACCCTCACTGACAGGTTTGCTCGGTAAGTTTGAACAACACCAAGATGGGTAACAGATATATCAAGGTGTGGAGTGAAATATGCTGTCTTTGTTTCTATCTCAGCTGCTGATTCTTTATCATCTTCTAGGACATGTCCTGACAGCCCCCCCACATTATCTGGAAAAAAGCGATCCTAGATCTGTTACCATGAAAGGAAACTTTACAGTGTGTGTGCAATGGAAACTCCCTTTGGGCAGGCTCAGGGCATTTAGCCATCAGCCAGCGGGCCAAGCCAAGGCTGGCCCGAGCTGCAGGGTGATGCGTGATGCTCACCCCGTTTGATCCCCTGCTGCCTGCTGTGCTGCCTGCAGGATGGAGGGGGGACAGGCAGCACAGCCTCGTCCCCTTTAGCTGTAGAAGGACTGACTGGAGGGAAGACAAGGGGATTGACTTTATATTGTCCTTCTCTGGGCTCCAAACTGGGTCCTGCCAATGGTGAAGCCAGGCCTCGCTCTGCCCGTGGGACCCTGCAGGCAGCCTCCATCGGCAGCCCAAGGCAGTCCTGTGTCAGGGCCACGCTGGGCTCTCCACAAGCTCTTTTCTCCTCTCGGTGAATGTGGAAGAGGGTGATGCTCCTCCGTGTTGGCCCATCCCCCAGGCTGTTTGCAGAGCATCAGGAGAGGTCCTGGCCCTGCGTCATTTGACGCTTCACAAGCCACCTCCACCAGTGAGCACTTTGCTGGAGCACAAACCTGCTCCCCGGCCTGAGACCCGCTCTGCCCATTTCGGCACAGCATGTGCCAAGGCGATCCCCTTATGGGAGTGATTCCCAGTGAACCAGCACTGTGAACACAGCCAGTTCACATGCTCCGTTGCTCAGAGCAGAGCAGGAGCAGCTCAGGCAAGGGGCTGGGCAGTGCAGAGCGATGCAGTTATCTCTGCTTTGCTTTGGGGATCACAGACCTGTCTGGCACTAGGTGGTCTTTCAACAGATCGTTCAAGCTCTTCCCCCAGGTCCTGCTGCAGTTATTCATCCTCGCAGCCACCCAAGTGCTGTGACCGCCCATCGTGCTGTCAGCTCACCCAACCGAAGGCTGTCTGAGCACTGCTTTTCTGCTGGCATGTTTTAGCAATAAAGATACTGAATCGCTTTTTGATCACAACCAGTCTTGTCTCCAAGGACTGGCTTGGCCCTTCTGCCCCTGCTTGGGGACGAGGAACCTGTTCCAGCGAGCTCAGCGCTGTGAGCAGCTTGGCTCCCTCTTACCCTTAAAGGACGCTCTGGTGACATCCCGGCTCATACGCTTCAGGGCTCAGGCCAGTAACAATACGCAGAGCCATGGACCAGAGATGGGGATTCCCTGGTCCAGAGCCACCCCGCAGCGGGTGCGGGACCGAGGCTCTCCCCGTGAATCTCTGAGCTGCAGAGTCAGAGGCATGACCAGAGAGTTGTTCCAGCTGGTGAGGGGAGGACAGATGGACAACGAATCAGCGCTTGTTTTACTCTAGACAAAAGAATATTTTTTGTGTCTGA